CTTGAAGTAAGCTTTCTTACATAAATTTGGTTTTCCTTTAAAAAGCTTAAGTATACGATGAAACTGGAATTACCAGCCAGTAATAGATAAACAATAAATATTACAGTCGTAACCTCGTTGTTATTAGAACTTGGTTGTAAATACGACCTTCTCACGTTTATTGAAACACTGCATTAACGAAAGAAGAAAGGAAGTAAATGTAGGGATGGTCGATATGAATCCTTGAAAAACAATGAAAACAAGATAGTGGGGATGTCATTTGCATCATTCCCACATAATAGCACAGGCAAGAATTAACTTACAGCTAATATAACTATTCAATCACAAGTGAGTTTAATTTATTCTGTTTTTGTGTGTTAACATTCTACTACACTGTGTGGCTGTGCTATTATCTAGTGTCATCTCTACTATCTTGTTTGCATTGTTTTTCAAGGATTGATATTAACCATCCCTACATTTATTGAAAAGTTTTCTACTTGTTATTGTAAGTAATGGTTACTGTCTTCAACATAAAATACACACACTGATCCATTGTACCCACTTGCTTCTGTAGTTACTTAAGTTGAAACACTGGCACAATTGCTTAGGGTATTTGATCACGTCTGCCACGTTAGCTTGCGAACAGTTTAAACCGCACCTCAGGATCCTGAGGAGGAGGAGCGGGAACACAAGATCCGATACCAGATTCGGGGTCTTCAGCGACCCTAAATACCTAATACGAGACTCTTTCCTCCTCATAATATCTGAGGGACTTTCCTCTGGTGTTTTGACCTCCCGCGGTGGTGGTGGGGAGGCACACAACGTCCGCCTGCTAAGTTTGGTCTTGCTAGTTCCCGAACCGTATTAGCAGCACCAGGCAAGTACACTGTTGACTAACCACCAGGCTAGTACACTGTTGACTAACACTGCCGAACTCAGATTTCTTCCATTGATAGATTGTTTAGGCAGAGTATTCAAGATGAAACTTTTGGAACGGATGGCAACTGTCTGTTGTAGAGACACAAGTGTAGAGGACGACGTTTCGAAAGTCTTCCGACCTCTACACTTGTGTTTCTACTACAGGCAGTTGCCATCCGTTCTACAAAGTTAATACCGTGCCGAACGAAACAGGTTTTGTTAGAATGTTGATATCAGATTATCGTGCCTACACCGAAAACAATCTCCTATTTCAGTTTAAAATTTATCTCGACATTTCTCATCCTTATAAATCTTATACAACGTGTTTATCTTGATGACACCATTCTATATCTTGAAACTGGAATTCATTATAAACAAATATCGTCGACCTTCGCGCCACCTCAACTTGTTCTTTGTGCAGGACTGCTAGTACTAATACTAAACAAGGACATCTGACGTTTCACAAGTTATATCTTCAAGTTACAAAAATATCATTAAAAAAAGTCAAGCAATTTTTGCTGACAGGTAATTATTGATTAACACTAAGAGAGGTGACTGCGGTCATGATAAAAAAAAAGGCTTAGAAGGTTGAAAAGCTTACGAATTTCCCCTACGTCTTATTTTCCTTCCATCTTAACGTACAAAAAACACTTTATTACCTAGCTTTTAAAGTCCATAAATATCATCACGTTTATATTTCATTAAAAATAATGAAAAGCGAATTTCATAGTGACTAAGATGTATTAACTGCCGTACACAAACACACACACGGTTCAAGTCATGTAATTACGAAATCACCAAAGTGACTTATAAAAACCGGATTTATAACTTACACGTAAACCTACAAGTTAACCATGAAAGGTCGTGAAGTAACAGATTCTTTTCTGTACTGAATATGAATATTTGTTGGTGGTAATTATATTACACACCGAAGGTTTCTTATTAACATAATAAATAAAACGTCATTTAAAACTGACGCATTTTAGCCTTGAACCAGATGCGTTAGATTATTTTCTTGTCAATTATATAATTAATGATAGACCAAACTATGACATTACAACTTTATATTTTAATACTATTTTCCGTATACATAACTCGTTCCTGAACAGTCACGCAAATTTCCGGGTCACGTTACATTTAATAAAATATAATTAACGGTTGGTGGTTTATTCGTTAAAATGTTAAGCCTTAAATGAAACCACCATTTTAATTTTTTTTAACAATTAAGAACACGTTTTACCGAAATAGAAAATTCTCATTACAAAAATCATCATCTTTTAACTAATATAAATAATTATATACAAATACATTTAATTTCTATTTCTACAATTGAGTGAAAACGTTTCACGATATTTTCATACTGACAAATCATATACAAGAAATCTGTACAATCTAAATTATGATTTACTACGATAATTATTTCTTTAACGGAAAGCAAGGCCTAGTAATGGCTGAATAAGAGAAAGAAAAAAAAATACAAGATTTCAGTAAACAGGAAAATAAATCTGTTGTATGAAAAAGTAATCCCGAAGTCCAGAAACTTCCTGTACTTTGTAGAAATGAGTTAAATGTAAATACAAGAATAAAATAATCCAGTAATATTTTAAAGTGATTGTTAGTCGTTGATAACACAGGACTGCGATGGTTTTATAGTCTTGACATTTTTACATGTTCTACAGTAATTTCTGTACGCTGAATCCGAAAATGATATCTATTTTTCTCCACCACATAGATTTTTCACAAAAGGTTATAACGCAATATACAAAAGAAAGGCCATAACACGTAGTTTTGAGATTAAAAGACGTAGATTTCACACACACACAAAATCAGGATGCATATTCGTTTGACGTCAATGTTCTTCCCATTTCTTCAGTTTGTTAACAAACATAATAATAAAAATGTGTTACGACAGCGGAAGTCACATGATGCTGCTGGCGCATTGGCGCTGGTGGCATGTGCGAGGAGTTTCTCGAATGATCGTGAATTTCCTAATTTGTTTGGGACGCCCTCTTTTTTAGTACATAAGCCCGGCAAAGAAAAGAAAAGATAGATATGCAGATAGATTGAAGATATAGATAATTGTGTCAAGCGAACAGTAGACACCGTAAGTAAAGTGTGTGAATCACTGTTATTTAAAGCGTGTGTTATAAAGGTTGTTGAGTTTAAAATGACTGTGGAAATTCTGTGTATTACAAAGTTGTATCAAGAAAGAATAAACTAGTTTTAATTAAGAAAGGACTTGTATCGCTGAAGTTCCTCGGAAAGAATTTATACCGGAAATTAACAAACGATCAGATACGTAACAAATGTTTATTGTGGTAAATGAAATAATAATTTGATGTAAGCTTTTTCTTCCCGGTTTGTAAAACATCTTTAAGTGATAAAATAAAATTAATATTATTTCCAATATCTGCGTAGCTGAATTATGGTAAACTCGTTATCAAAACCAAAAGAACTTTTATGAAGTTTAATTTCGCAGGCCTGTGTAATTAATTGGTTGTTTAAGTTAGCGTTTCTTTAACCAAAATCACCAACTTGGCGTTTGTTAAAGACAATTGTTAAATGTTAGCGATTTAAGCGTTCAGTAGTTTCGAAATTTGTGTTGTGAAGTTTACTATTCAAAGTTAGGCCTATAAGTGATCATGACTGTCGGCAACGATAAAAACGAAAAATTGTTACTAGGATTAGACCAGAGGTCTTCAAACTTATTTCTCTGGCGAAACCCTAACCCACTTACCTTGATTTGCGTGGCACCTTTGCTGCCACATGCAATAATATTTTTTTGTAGTTTTTTTTTAATTATTCTTGGTTTGGTGAAACTTTCGCGACACTCCCAGCAACTTGCTGTAACACAGAGTTTGGAAACCATTGTACTAGGCTTAACATTATTGTAAAATAGTCCAGAAGAACCCGCCGAACGAAAGAACAACGTGACAAAACAAAGGCAAATTAACGTATAGAGATTCTTGGGGCGCCATCTTTAAAACCACCTTCTTACAAGTAAG